ACAACAAATGGAAATCTTGTATAAGTGGAAGCTAAAATGCTTTGTGAATTCATTTTTTTTTTTTGGTCAAAATCAAACTTTGTGGTTTAAATTAATAATTAATAATTTATGGAGTACTTAGTTGAAAATCAAATAAATAAAAAAAATTTAAGCCTTCTAATTTTTCAAAATTTTTAATTTTCAATTCTAAAATCGTTATCTAACAAATAGAATGTAGAAGGAGAAGCACCTAACAAAGTGCTTGATGATTTAAATTAAGAATTTAGGAAACATATTTTTAAGGAAAAGTGAAGAGATTAGTAAGATGAAATTCTTTAACTTGTAATTTTAAATTTAATGTAAACAAACTTAAAAATATAACTATGCATATAAAATTCAGAAACTGTTTAATTGAATTGTGTTTATATTATATATTAATGTTTGAATTGGATGAGTGTCAAAAAGAGTGTTGAACTAAGTGTATCAATCATATCCCAAGATTCAAAGAATGAGATTGGATTGAAATGTACCCTTCCTTGTTCAACCCCTCCCCCCGTCCCCCCAAATTTTTTTTTTTTTTTTTTGTCTCCAAACCATTGTTAATGAGATAAAATGCTACCTCATACATTAATCAAGCTATGCATTTAACCATTTAAGAATTACATACTAAATTATTTAAAAATAAAAAAAAGGTAAATTTCATATTTATGCATAAATAGGGGTTTCATTTTACCTTATAATGCATTAATCAAACAATAAATATTATCATTTTTATTTTAATTTTGCAAGAGAAATATACATTTTGTTAAAAAATAAAAGATTGCATTAAATAGTTTTTCAATTATGTCATGAGAAAAAATTAATAAGAACACCTCAATAATAATAATTAATTAAAGATATTTGATCATTTAATGTATTTTATTCTTAATTAATCTTTGTATCTATATGTATCTATGTATGTTATTTTGAGACCTTTTATTTTCAATTCAATAAACTACTATTGCACATTTACATTATAATCTAAACTTAATGGTTACTTCTCTCTTTTTGGCCTTTATAGTTATATTTCTTACATGACTTTTTTTTTTTTTCATTATCTTTCTCCATGCCCTTCCATATTCCTACCTACCTATGTATAAAGGTTAAATGTCAATTTTGATCCTTTCGCTTTGTTGACTCAATGCACTCCAAGAGAGGGGGTGAATTGGAGTTGGAGAATTTTCACCTCTTTGCAATGTAAACCCCACAAACAAAAATTAAAGAGAGAGTTGAGAAGAAGAGCTTGCACAATGATTTTATAGAGGTTCG